GACCCAATTACCACAGAGAGCTTTCAGGAAACAAATCATATAACTAAGATAGTAGTAGTTTGAAATAAATATGCATTCAGTATTTGTTTTAAAATATATACAGTTCATAAGTTTATAAAAGATGAATTCAGAACCAAATACATATTTTATTTAAAATTATAATAAAAAGTATATGAAGGATAGGATTAAAATGAATACTGGTGTTGTATATGTCAAAAGACACTAAATCTCCCAGCTCTTCCTTTTAATAAGGTGTTTTGGTGACTTAAAAATTACTATTAATACAAATGCATTTTCAGTTTATTTCTATAATCATTAAAGTATATAAAAGATCATCTGGAAAGGTCAACTGGGAGTTTCATGTTCAATATTATTGTAATAAAGATTTAACACAATTAAGGATTGAATCAAATTTATGGTTATACACAAGTATGTAACTATTATTTTGAATTACCAAAAAGATTAAATCTATGCATTCAGTGCTCCACAGATCTGAGTTATGAAAGATAATTCTCTTGTATTTGCTGCAGCTTGGTAAGCCAAAAGGTGTTTGATTTGTCATCATCTATAATATAAATGAGTGATTTTGCTAGCAAAGAAAGTAAAATCTACTGTGAAAACTATACATATTGTTGGCCAAGCCATTAAAAAGGGTTTTCTAAAATTCACTAGTAATAATAATAACATTGGCCTTTAAACACATGTTAACGAATTTGAATTTAAAATTATTCAGCATCATTAACCTACTTGAAAGAACGAACAATATTTTAATGTTTCCTGGTTCTGGTAAAGACATGTAAAGTTTTATATTTACAATATATATAAACATTTTAAAACCTTTTTAATTGTGAAAATTACAATTGTTCTCATTATGATTATTGTGAGAAAGTACAATGCCCAAACAAGAACAAAGAGTATGGGACCCATAAGAGTTGCAATGTAGGGACCCTTTTTTAGTCATAAGAAAAATGTGTCTCCTTTGCCATTTGCCCTAACTTGTTTACAAACTTTAAGGGGATGTTTAGTAGATAGGAAGTGTTACATACACCACTAACATGAATTGTCTCTATTTGTTCTGCATGTAGTAGCACAGAAATAGAAATTTTAACACAGAAAGCTACCCCATCCTAAGTGCCCCATAAATCACTCAAAAACACCACGTAAGATTTTTCTACTAAAGCAGCATTCAATCTGAAACTAGGAAATAAGCACAGAGGCTCTCATTACCAACCTAAAATGACCGAAAATATTAAATCTATATGATTCCACAATTACCAAATCACACACTAAATCTCATCTGTCACTTTCACCAAGCACAATATTAGAATCGCATTAACTTGTATTTCTCATTAGAAATCCAATTTAAAATATGTTAACATTTAGGACTACACGCTATAGAAATCCCCTTACAAGATACTATCTATCGATCAGCCTAACTGAGCTTACTCACCAATGAGCAATTGATGAATATTAGTGGTAGATTGTTTTTAATGGCATCGGCAAATTAGCTCTCCTCTGTATTTTTGCAAGCTTTTGTACATAGTAATTTAGAACACTATAAATGTTCCATCATAAATGGTATAGGAGCTAAATAGAAGAACGTTATGTAAGGATGAAGTTTCATGATATCTATAGCTGACTTTAAAACTATTTAGTAGGGAAAAATTACACATAAAAATAGACATAACATAAAGACATAAAGCAAAATGTTAACATTTGTTGAATTTGATATGCATATTCAATGTATTATACTTTCAGTTTTTACGTTTGAAAAGTTTAGTTTTAAAATATTTTGGAAATGAAGTCTTACACTTCATTGGTTTATCCTTAAAGGTGGAAGAATTTTCTTATTTTTAAAATATACACAGTCAGAAAATATGAAGAAAACCAATACTCCCAATTTTCCTAGAAATTATTTTTCATATTTTATTGGGTGTTTGACATTTTCAATTTTCTTCAAAATAGATACTTATATTTTCCATCTGAATTTATGAATAATTAGTACTCCCAATTAAACTCAAGGAAATATGAATTCAAAGAAAATTATTCAGGTCTTTACATAGTATACTTCTCTTTCGCTCTCCACATTCTCTGGACCTTGCCAAACATTCCCTGTTACGATTCACTATCTCCATTCACCTATTCTCTTAAAAGTAAGAGTAAACCCTATCATATTTAATACTTATTTCAAGGCCTGCAGGGACTTATAATGTACAAGGAAAGTATTTTAATGTGGAAGAGAAAGCTATCAAAATATGTGTGCCTCTCAGAAAATCATGAACTGTTCAATTTTTTGTTTTGTTTTACTTTGGGGGGCACATTAATGAAGCACTATAGAAGCTTTGTTGAAACTTAGAGATCAAAGAAACGAAGAAATTTTTTAAAATGTAACCAGCGTCTTCCATTGATTCTCTCTGGATTTTCAAAATATACAGTGGTCATACCAAAGCCAGTAAAAAGCAGAGGGTATATGTTATCTGCCTCTAAAATCACCCAGTTTTCCTACATACAACTGTTAACAATTGCTTATTAAAACAATGTTACTGGATATATACTGCTGTTCACTGTTGCTTTTGTTAGATAATTGATTTAACTAGGTACATTTTAACTTCAACAACAAATTTACCATCAGTAAACAACAAAAATGAGCTTCTTGTGAATGTAATTTTCACCAAAACATCACACCCCCATTTGACCTATGTTTATTTAAAATTGGCTCTACTTTCATGGCCTCAAAATGTATGCTATTCAAATTTTTAAATTTGGAAGGTGTTTAGCATGTCAAATTATCTGGGAGTTTGCAATGTTAAATATATTGTTTGAAGTGTTGCATTTGCAAAGAATTCACTTATTCTCTGGCTTTGTAGAGACGTATCCCTAAAAACAAATGTATGTGGTGGTTCACTACCACAGAGAATCAATACCTATCTATTTAATTTGCTAAGACAATGTAAATTAGTAACTTCCAGCCAGATGTGTGATATACACATCAAACTGCAACCTGTTCATTATGAAAATCCTGTCAACATACACAGAGCCACTTGATGACATTTCATCTAAAGCTGTTTCCACATTTGCAGCTATAAAAATTGTTCTAAGAATTTTTATACAAGGAATTGGAGCTGAGACTCATAAAAAGATAATCAATTTCAGCTTTTCATCTTGTGTGCTTGTGTATACATGCTTCTATGTGTTTATTTCTATTTTCCTTCAGAGCTACAAAACGTTCAGAAAAACGTTTATCACACTATTTTTCCTTCTATAAATCATTTATCCCCATTACATCTTTTTAAATCTGATGTGAAGTAATCAACTGACTGATTCTGCAGCTCTGAAAAAGTGTGTAAAGAATGACACAGTCAACAGAAGAAAAAAAGAACACTTACCCACTGGGAAAAAAAAAAGAATATTTCAAAATGACTCCAAACATAAATTAAGCTTACCCTTTGGGAGGTCTAACTTGCATTCAGATCATTTATAGGGGTCTGTGTGACTATATACCCCGCTGTTTGATGAAGAATGATTACTAACCACAGGCACCCACCAGAGAACAATGTGTGTGTGTAATGCTTGTCATGTCTCAGACATACAAGCCACCTTCTTAAAGAATATCCGTTTCCTTTCCATGGTAAGCAGACATAATTTTTCACCCTTTAATACTTCTGCTTCACAGAGTGGCTTATTTTTTGAGTTATGCTTTGCCATTTTTGCTTGTGTTTATTTTAGTAATATGAAAACTGAATTCCTAAAATAGATTTTTATGATACCCAGAATAATGGTATGCTTTCTGGCCTATATGAAAATACACAGCCTTCTTGCTATTACAAAAATCTAATCATATTTATTTTTAACACTGTTTACTAAAGTAAGAGATGTTAAAGGATTCTTCTTAATAACTTGCTATTATTTTTAAATACTGGATTCTCACCCAACCAAGTTCATTTTCTAAATCTACTGAAATAAATCTTATTAAACAGGGCAGAGTAAATAATCAATGCCAGGCATATTTCCAACTAGTATATTTTTAATTCGGCAATTTAATGTGGAATGAAACCAATTCTCATCCTCCACGTGTGATCTGATTGCAAAGAGCACCCCTTACCAACACCCTAATATCTAAACAGCGTTTCTTCTAAGAAATAAATAACTTCTGGAATCCCCTAAAATCACAAAAATTCCAAACTCTACTCCCCCCCCCAAAAAAAACTCGGCACACAAAAGAGTTCTTCATAAAGCCTTCAACCCTAAGCAATTCGACTTTCACACACGGCGCGGAACATGCTTTCTTCACCAGTAGCCACAGGCCACGTGACCAGGCTGTGGGACACACAGGCCGGGGGGGGGGGGGTCCCCTTCTAGAAAGAATGAGGCCAACCGGCCTCTGCTGCCGCCGCCGGGTCCACGTCCCCCGCAGATGGCACTCGGTGAAGTGGGTTCGCGACTTTGGGGTCCCGCGCCAGCCAAGACCTGCACCGTTAGCCCGGGTCCCTCTGCTTTCTGGGGGTTAAAGCCGGACCCTCCGGGTCACTTAAGCCCCCTCCCCGGGGGGACTCTGTGGCTCAGGAGAGAAACACTCAGAGCGAGCGCTTCACTTGGGTCGGAGACTCTGTTTAAAATTAAGAACTTCAAACCCCGGATCTAAAAAAGTGAAACAGATGTCCTGTTTGCTAACAGTAAATGGCTCCGTACGTCCGATCCTTTCCTCTTTTCTCTTTCTGCCCGATTAAGTATTATTTAATGCAAAGTTCACTAAAAAGGGGTGAGAAGGGAAAAAGAAAGCACAAGATGGACCATGATGAGAAAGCTCCTAAATCTTTTTGTAGAAAATAACGAAGGAAGCGTCTTCAGAAAGATGCAAGTGCTGGACCTGCCTCCTTCCAGCCAGCCAGCACTTGGGGTTCAAACCGACCTCGCGGAGGACCCCAGCCTGGCCTGGCCGGGGCGCGCGCACCTCTCGCACCCGGGGTTTGGGAGCGCGCAGGGGCCCGGCTCGCACTCACGTGAGGACGTAGTTGACGCTGACGATGCAGTGCGGCCGGGACGAGCGGCTGTTGTGCACGATGGTCGCGTAGCTCTGCACCCAAACCCAGCCGCCATGTTTCGCCAGGAACCTGTAGTACTTGGTGGTCACCTGCCCCTTCACCAGCACTGCGGGAGAGACAGGGGAGGAGGCGGTGACTTGGCCTGACTGGGACTGGTCCCGAGGCCTGGCGGGGCCGTGCGGACCCCCGTGGGCCCTGACAACTGGGCAGGAAGGAGGCAGGGACCACAGGCAAATCCCCAGTCGCACTGATTGTCCTCTTAAATGACCTCAATCCTAGGACCTCTTACCGGTGTGTTAATGGAGTGGCCCCTCCCTGGGCCTTGTTTTAAGGATTAGCAATTGCGCCCAGATTGCTTTATGAACTCCGGAAGGCCCTGGGCAGCCGAACTTTTTTCCCAGTCTGCGGAGATTAGCCCAATGCAAAGCTATATTAAAAGCAGGAGGTACCGGCCTGTCATTCCAACTGCTCAGGAGGCTGAGGCAGGAAGATCACAAATTCGAGCTTAACCTGTCCCCATTCTTAAAAAATAATAATAAAAAGGGTTGGAGAGGTAGCTCAGAGATAGAGCGCCCCTGGGGTCGATCCCGTGTACGGGGGAGAAGGAGAAATAGCGAAGGAGATTCGGTGCTTGGAAAGAAGGGAAGCACATCAATAAGAGGACAAAACTTCTGGAGAAAATTCTCCCAGAAACTCCCCCTACACCAATGTTAGAGGTCCCCAGGGGGCCCAATGGGAAAGCAGCCCCTCGCAGGCCTCAAGTACCGCCACTACCGGCCACGAGGGCTCTCACCGGTGTTTGCGTGGACCTCACTTTCCCCTCCCGCCCCCTCTGGCACGCGCCAAGGTTGTTCGGTGCGGGGCAGGGCAGGGGCTTACGCAGGTGGTGCGCGCAGCGCAGGTGGAAGGTGTCGCAGCCGTGCACGTGGTGGTACAGGGTCTTCTCGATCAGGTCCTGAGGTTCGTAACCCGTCAGCTCCGCCACCCTGGGGAAAGCAATTCCCGCCGCGGATTAAGTGCTGGGGGTGTTGCTGACTCCCCACAGCCTTCCCAGCCCTCAGAAGGACCTGGTCAGTCGCCTAATCTGCAAGATGGGCTACTGCGATCTCGGAAAGCTCTCCCTGGAGGAGCAGGGCGGCCCTGCACTAGGGGCTCCCGCGCACCTAGAGTCTAGGAAGATGAGCTTCATGTCGAGGCTAGCGCGGAACATGAACATGTTGCTGTGCAGCTTGATCTCGGTGACCGCGCTAGGAGGCAGCGAGTGGCCCACGGCCACCAGGCCCACGTTCTGGTAGCAGCCGTCGAAGGGAGACATGTCCAGGCTGTACTGGCGGATCTTCAGGTAGCCGCTGCAGTGAATGACCTGTAAAGGAGTGGGAGGGAGGTAAGACTCGAAGGGAGGGGCACAGGGTGGAAACATGTTGAGACACTGTTGGGCCAGCAACCTTGTTGCGCCACGCCCTTCTACTAAGCTGTGTCAAGAAAGTGCACACCGCACTGACCGCACCGGGGTGCTTGTAAAAAACGCAGGCGACTGGGCCCCACAAACCCTATGGAATCTGATTCGGGTCCCTGCAACCTGCTTTTTAATGATATTCAATCACATTCACCTCGAAAACCACACTTTTCAGCTACAGATCAGATTCTTAGTCTTTTGGAGATTCAAAATCTGACGCTGTGACTAACGTAGGAATCCATCAAAGTTACCCGCCACTTCAGAGACTTTAGGGCCTCCTAGGACCCATCTCTAAGAGTCTCTGGGGCCATACACACTGTTTCCAAGGCTAGCCAGACTTCGATGTTGAGTGTATTCTCCTGGCGTTCAAGGACCATAATGGAAGTCCTGGCCCGCAGCGTTTGGATGCGTTTGGACGCGTGCGTCCCGTGAGCACTCTGGGCCTGAAATGCGGGAACCAGCACCACGCAGACTCCTGGTGTCACACACGGGTGCCCAGAGGCGTCAGTCTTCTGGCTCAGTCACACACCTTGTAGCCACCGCAAGTGAGTCCAGCGTTCCGCTTAGCCAAGACGCACTTCATCCTCAGGAAGAAGGAGCGCTCGATCTCATACTCTGGGAGAGGAGAGAAGGTTCAAGACCAGGGACAGGCACAGGCCTGGGTCCCAGATAAGACTAGGGGAAAGCTGCAAGCTGACTCCCACCTGCCCAAGCATCATGGAAAACACGTGCCTGCCTTACCCTGCACGAAGTGAGAGTGGTAGGGCTGGTGTGCAGTGAGCACTGCCGTCATCTCATCGTGGTCTGCTGGGTGAATGTATTCATAAATGCTATTTCCAGTCAGCTCTACCTGTAAAGGAGAGAGTAGTGCTATTTCTGCATTAGAAGAAAGCCCCGTGAAGTGGCTAAAAGCTTGGGCTAAGGGGTTCTGAAGGTCCATAAAGATAGCCAATGGTCTGGGATTGGCCCTGGGCTCTAATTCCTCTACTACTTTCTACCTTTTGCTTATTATCTATGCCTCAGCTTCTTTATCTGGGAATTAATAATAGTGGTAGCAATGATAACAATAGTAGGAGTAGTAGCTCCCTGGCAATGTTGTGGTAAAAAGATCCTAAGTATGTGACCTCCTCCCACAGTGTCTGGCTTATGGTAAGAACTCAGAAAAAGTAAGGCTTGCATCGGCCTGGGTTAGAAGCTAAAGGATAAAGAAGTTCAGAAATGGGGGAGATCTAAATTTATTTAAAGAATCCTCCTGCCAACAAAGAGGTTTCCAGCCCCAGAAATGTAGACATAAAGGACTGTGGAAACATCACACACAAACTGCTGCTTCCAGCTCTGGTTGTAAACACTGCAGGCTGGAAGTGTGGAGCACTCACCTACCTGAGAAAGACCCAGGTGAACTGAGGCTGTCTCTGAGATGTACATGATCTTCCCATCTGGGGCCACCACAAAGATGAAGCCATCCAACGTCTGGGGAAGCAGAAATAGAGTAAATGGAGAGGCCTCTGGGCCATCTGGAGAAATGGGGGGAGGGAGGACAGAAATTAGGAACATTCTGCCAGAAGAGCAGAGATGGAGTGGAGAGAAACTGTCAGGAGACAGGATACGGAAGGGCCACAACACCTCTCCACCCCACCCTAGTTGTTCATTCCAAATTTGTAAGCACTGGGGGCATGTAGTACACTGAGACATATACAGAGGAAGTGGTAGATAAGGATAATGGCATACAAAACTCAGGATCCACCGAAATTAATAAAGACACATCTAAAACAGACAAAAGTTCTGAGGGGAAAAAAGTCATAGCCATGGACAAGAGATGGGTTAGGTCCGTGGAAAGAACCAGAAGGTTCCTGTGTCAGTCTTGAAGAGCTCCATAGTGGTGGCTCTGGTCTATAATGAAGAGAATAGTAGCAGGGTCTGGGAGATACAGTGCAAGAAGCACTGGTCCACAGGGAAGACCAGGCAGTCTGAAGTTTGTAGACAGAAGGTTCCAGAAAGATGCAGAATAGGGAACTTAGAGGATGAGAGGCTGTCTGAGCAGCAAGTCCACAGAGTGGTGTTATTGTATGTATGTTTATGTATGTTTACAATGAAGCATCAATCTGGCAGGCTCTTCATGGAGGAAAATTTAGACTTTCTCTGTTCTTTTTTTTTCCAATCTGTGAATGAGTCTTCACAGTCCAGCAGTGGAGACCTAGGATGAATCAGATTCTTCCCTCGAGGAGCTGAAAGTCCCACTGAGGAAAATGGCCTTAAGATGGATATATAATGACCACAAGGCTGAATACAGAGTGCTGAATAGGCAGAAGACCTAGAAGCTGAGCAACCAGAGGCCAAGAGGAGCATCAGAGAGGCCATAAAGGAGATGATTTAAGTGGGAATTTGGAGAGAAAGCTTGGAGAGAAGAAGGCAGGAAGAGCATCCTAGACAGAAGTAATGATATGGCAAAGGCAGGCATGGCAGTTGGGGGATGGGGGGTGGCAATGATGGATCTGGTGTATTCGGAGGTGATGAGTTGTGTGTGCCAGAGATGAGACAGAGGAAGTATCCTCATAGTAGACTTTGGGAGTGTGGAGTGTCAGTCTGAGTAATCTGGAGTTGCTCCTGTAGGCATCAGGGTTCTAACATAGGTTTCCAAGCAGGAGAATACATGCTTAGATGTATTTTTCTGGCAAAGTATAGACAGTGATCCTTAGATGGAAGCAATGGAGATGAGGCCAGAGCAGGTAACTGCAGTAGAAATGGTCAAGCCTGAAATTGGGCAGTCACAAAGAGAATGAAGAAGAGGGAGAGTCTAATTCAAAGATTGCACTGGCTCTGCACTCCATGTAAACTGATGGCAGAAAGAGAAATTTAGGTTGACTTCCAGATTTCAGTAGGGACATAGAGCTCATTAGTGAAGATTAAAAATTCAGAGAAACATGAAATTTTGGATGATGGAAGTCTAGGTGCAGGAGATAATGAATTCTAGTCTTGGAGATGCTAATCTTTCAATGCATGCAGATTTCCACTTAGAAGTTTCCATTGGACTATAGGAAATAAAAGTTTGGAGCTCAGAAGGGGATCTGCACTGAAGAAACCAGCTGGAGTCATGTGGAGAAAAGACTTGAGGTTGTGGCATTGGCTGAGATCACCCAGGAGGTCTTGGGAGTCAGAAAGGACACATCATTTGCAGAATAGCTGGGCAGGGGGGACAGCAAGGAGTGGGAGGGAAGGGGAGAGAATTTGAAAATAGTGCTGTCTTAGATATAGAGGAAAGAGGAGACTGTTAAGTCATCAGCATCACTTCCTTTTGGTCTTTGCCAAAATGTTACCTTGGTGAGGCCCTCACCAACCATCCCCACTTTAAATGGCAAAACTAAAACAGAGTCCCCTTTTCCCCTTCTTACCAGAGCACCTATGCCACCTGGTGCACTATGCAGTGCCCCTGTGTGGGTTTGCAAGGCCGCTCTTTTTAGAATGCTCTCTCTATGAGGGCAGGGCTTTGACGCTCCTGTATTCATGGGATGAACAAGTTCAGGTAGGATAATAGATGAGCACCTAATTATCAGTATCAGAATGTGGTGGTGCTTGTGCAGAGCACAATGGGTGGAAGAGATGCCAGACTGCAGAGATGTGGGGGTGAATGGGAAAGGGAGGGAGTTAACAGAATTGGGCACGTAAGTCAGTCCTGCCAGGACTTTAGGGTGAAGAAGAGGAAAGTGGTCAGGTAAGAGCTGGAAGGGGTAAGAGATTGGGTTTTGTTCTCCTATTTATTTTTCTTGGAGAAATTAGGAATATGGGAAAAGTTGGGAAAGATGATACAGGGACATGATAGAAGGTGTTTCAGTAAAGGAAGTTCCAGAACCTTCCTAGATAAGTGCAAAATTACAGAGCCCAGGTCAGTGAGGGAATCCTCTCCCAAGCCCTTTGTTCTGTGAAACTAATATCTGTTTGGTCCCTGGGAGGGAGAAGAGAATGGGTAGCAGTGGGACATGAAAACTGTTGGGATCCTGCAAACAGATGTGGCCTCTTAGGCTCCAGGCTCCACTGGAAGAGCTGCCGGTGGACTTGAATAATAATAAAGAGGGTGTAGGGGCAGAGACAAGTGTCAAAGCTAAAAATGTCACTGGGGGATATTTAAAATATTTGTTTTGTGATTTAAGTCAGCAACGGGGAATTTAAAACAGTGGGCCCTGCAAACAAGAAGGTAATGGGCACCTCACACTGGTTAAACTCATTACTTGGGGGTGTGTTTGTGTTTACCCCAAGGTTTGTACAGAGCCGAGCTGGCCTGAGACTGGGCTCTCAGGAAGAGAGGGGGAAGGCTGGGAAACAGGGAGGAGATGAAATGAGTTGTAGATGCAGCTGGATCCAGAATGTATAGGCTTAAAATACTGATGGGCATTTCTACCAGATTCCTGTGATTTCCTTTGCAAGTCCTTCATTTCAGATGGTTCTGAAGCCCGCCCCCATAGGCTTGGCCCCAGCCATTCCAGTTTTCTGTGTCAAAAGGTGACAAAAGCACCCTCTCCCTTTGGCCAAGAGTCCTGAAGGGGCCTTGGAGTATTTTCTAAACCCAAAGTTTTAGTTATTCCTTTACCTCCTTCTGGGCTTCATAAAACTCCATCTGCCAATCCACACTCAGCTAAGACTTGAAGTTTTAACTTTGAAGGAGTCCCTGGGCTGAGAGAGAGCCCTATCTACATTGGATTGTGTTTATTTATTTATTTACAGAAACTGAAAGCCCAGCAGAGCAGTAGGCAGGCACAGGGACCTTGAAGCACAGGTGCCACCAGAAGACCTGGGCCTGTACCTGAAGAAGATGGGAGCCCAGTTCACGGCCAACGTTGTCCAGGGGACTTGTGCGACTTGAGTGGCCCCACGCCTCCCCTAGCCCTGTGGAAACACAGAAACAACCTTTAGCAACAATTCCCCCTGCAGCTGGAAGTTTGGGACTTGTCAGAGTTTGTGGTTTGTTATACATGGGCTCCAGAGAGAGCACCGACACCATCTCCAGTATCTATCCACTCCATAACCTGCACAGTGAGGGAGCATAGGGCTTAGGAACTTGTAACTTTTGGCCTTCTCCCCATTGGTTTCTGAGTGGAAATCAGACTTGCCCCACCTGATCAGCCCAGGTTTCTGAGGAACAGCAGGGCCTTCTTCCTGCACAGCCAGGCAGGACCTCAAGTGGCCTTTGCCTTGGAGGAACCACAGACACTACACCCCGCTATAACTTTTGCAGGAGTTCACTAGTGTGTTTACAGGGGTGAGGGACACCTGATTTCTCACTCAAAAGTTTTAACATTGTCCTTTGTCCTTATCAGGAACCAGAGGACATCTCCATACCCAGAGAAAGCTCTTGCTCCCAGAAAAACCTGAGATAATTGGCGAGGTCCATCTGGTCCCTGATGGTCTTTCTGACTGGCTGCTGGGCTTTCTAGTCATTCTCCTCCTTCGTCTGTGACTTTAATCCTTTATGGAAAAACCTATTTACAGTGGACCTCCAGCTTCCTGCTCACCAGCATTCCTGGCAATTCTTCTTCCCCTTTCCCCTCCTAAGCCCGATCTTACACACCCCTCAGCCTCCCCATTCACCTCCCCAAGGAAAAAGAAGGCCCATGGGCTTTTCGGAAGTCAGTTACTTTTAGGTGCTCAAAATCTCTTAACAACATTTTCCTTCTGCCTGGACATAAGGAATCATTCAGTTTCTCTACTTCCCAGGTGCCATCTTCTATTAACAAACAGCTTATTCCTCTCCTTAATGTTACTACATTTGGATCTTTTGATGCTTTGCCACAAACCCCAGCATCATTCTGGAGCTGCCTAAAATACAAAGCACTCAAGATTCATTGCTGATTTTCAAAAAATATTAGTATAACCTACTATATTACCCGTGAACAGGAAGAAATTTTTAAAAAGCAGAGGAAATTTGTGCAGACCGATGTTAAACTATTTATCTTTTAACAATGGAGCTGCTGAAATTATTCCACTAGATAAGTCCTTCCATTCTTAGAACCATTGCGGAAGGTTGAAGATGACATTTTTAAAGGTAATTTACTTTGTTGGGGGCAAATGCACAATAAAGCACACAAGGACACACACTCCCATGGTACTATGGGGCTGGAAAGGATCTTTCACAATAAAACATGGAGTTTAACTTTCTGAAGGTGTTGGCCAGGAGCTGCTTCCTAAGCAAGCGATCAAAACCCTGGCTGCGAGTACCAGGAGCGAACGGCCCTTAAGCTCCAATAGGGTCTTTCTGGGTGTTTGCACATCTAAATAAATCTAACGATTTCCCCGCAGCTCTGCAAACACGGACGCTCCCGCCTGTGACTGGACTCCTCTCCCTCCTTCGCACAGATTGACCCCTCCTGACTCACCCCGCCCCAGCTACCCTCCCCGAGTGACTCCACTGCCCCAGTCCCTGCCGTCCTCCCGGGCCATTCCAGAAAGGCACGCGTCTCGGTCACCTCTTCGCTCTGTCACGTTCCTTTGGCTCCTCCCGATCCAGCCAGCCTATCCTTGTTTTCTGGCACCTGTATTTTGGTACCTGCTCAAAGGTACCACCCAGAATGGGAAGGCGGGAGTCGGCTGCGGAGAAAAGGCACTGGACCTGCTGAGAGCGACTAGCGTGGAGGTGGCCCGGGGCCCTAGGGCACCGTTGAAGTCTTGGGGTCCTGGAACCCCAAGACTTCGCTGGAGCGCAGGCCCCACTCCCGCGCCCCGGGGGCGGGCTGAGCAGAGCAGTGCGAGTGTTAGGAGGCCCCGGAAGGGCGCAAAACCTGCCGGGGGGTGGGGACAGTCAACGACTCTCTTTAAATTTTGGGAGAATCTTTCGGAGTGGCCTCGTGACGGAAGCGGTCTGAATGGTCCTGAGCTGCGCGGGAGGTGGGGGTAGGAGACTGGTTCTGATCCTAGCGCTAACCTCGATTGTGAGTTGGGTGACGGCCTCAGAGGTATGCGCCTACGAGGGAAATAAGACTTCCCTCTGGTTAATCAACAGCCCGTCCGGTGCAGGGAACAAGGCCCTCCCTCCTCTCCCCGGCACACTCCCCCGACACGCACCTTTTAAGGGAGCTTTTGTCTTTACGGAGCGTTGCTTTCTCTTTTTGTTCCCGTCGAAATATCTATGGTACAGTTAGGTCTGGGTTAATATTTCCCGAGGCACTGGCTACCTTGCCTACCTGTCAGGCGCTCCTGGTGTATTACCAGGGCCGAGCTCACCCTTCGGGTGCGGAGGACACCTGCCCAAGCCCGATCGGGGTCACCCCTTCTCAAAAGTCTCCAAGTGACCTCCTCGCCTCCTGCCTTCCGTAACGCGCTCCGGCACCCAATTTCCTTTGGCGAGGGGGTAAGCTGAGATTTCGTTTCTGCACTTGACCTACCGCAGAAAATTCGCAAATCCTTTGATTGTCTGTTTAAAATGAGGAGGAAACCAGCTCCCTTTGCGGCAGGATTACAGTGGGAACAAGATCTAAAGATTCTCTTGTAATTCAGTGAGGCCGAGGGAATGGGGTTTTGCAGAGGAGAAAAGGAGCTCTGTGAGGGAGGCGATAACTAAATCGGGTTTTAGACAAAAGGATTTTCCCCAGCTAAAGTGGCCGAAGACAAAGGAAAACATAATCTATTTTGGAAGATTTCCAAGATATGCCACATTAACCTTGGCAGATAAATTTTGCTTTTCCCAGCGCCCCCCCTCCCTTAAAGTCTGGTTTATCATATTTACATAAGTAGCATTACAAGGGATGTATCTATTATGGATCTAAAGGGCTAGCTCACATTTCACGGGAAACCCAGGCGAGTTTCACTGTTGCTTTACCCTGGGTGTGTGGTTGAGCCATTTCCATTTAAATACCCCCTGACCCAAGGATTACCTCAATGGACTGACTGCGCGGGTTTTGTAATTTCCTGAAAATGAGATTTCGATTTATAAAACAAGAAACCAATTAGTAACCAAATGAGGCGAAGTAGATCCACTAAAATTGACCTAATCCCACAGGCACCATTTAGGCCCGTTCTTGGCGAATGAATGATGAGCCCCAGTCTAGCGTGAGCTCAAAGCATCATCCAGCTGTGTTATTGCAAGCAGCAAAAATAAATTGATCGAGCTTCTCCTTCCAAATGAATTTCACACCCTTGACAACATATAGATTACAGACCAGGCATCCTCACCTCCTTCACTCAGACAGGAAGAGGAGGAATAGAAGAGCTTGTTCTACTGTTTTGTTTTTCCTGTTAATATATAAACACAATCTTTCCATAGAAAGTGTTTCCTTCTTGTAGCCCTTCCCAGGGACCTTTAGCTCCCGGACGGGTGGTGTTATGCCTTTTAGGCAATGGGGTGAAGGGTGAGTGGATAAGTTGTTCATGGTCACCATCACAACCTGGGAACTGAGGTGGAAAAGGCTGAGGAGTGTGAACTCCTCAGGCCCAGCAACAGCTTGTCCCAGCCATGGGGTCCTTCTTGGGTCAGGGTTCAGGGTTCTGAGGGAAGATGCTGGCTCTGAAGTAACCCCCAAAACCCCAGATCCCTCATTTCCTGCAAGGCCTGTGGGCACAAAGTGGCCTTGGTGTTTCCACTCCGCTGCTTTGGAGACTGGATACTCTCGGGCAAAGAGAGGGACATAGAATGGGCACTCCCAGTTGGACTGAGCTCCTGGAGCAGTTTCTGGGCAGAAGCCCTTCAAGCACTGCGGCGGGCATACCTGCTCCCAGTTACAGTGCTTGTTTGGGTCGTCTCAGGCCACTGAGGGCATGTTGCAGAGCTCTCCAGGGCGGCGGCAACTGTGTGCCTACCGTCTGCAGTGTGTATCCTGCCCGCCTCTGCTTGCCTCTGAGGGGCCAGAGACTCGGCAGGCCCATCCCTGGAATGCACTGACGGGGTGAATCCGGTGGAGACCTATGGCCCCGCGCTGGGCTCTCCCTTCTGCGCCCTCCAAGCGCTCCATCCGGTCCCCAGTTTAGGCTCCCAGTTCAGGACCAAGCACGCCAGCCAAGCTTTCTACCCCAACCCAAGCCTGCCACCAATGATCGAAAACTCAAAAACCGAAGGAGGGCAAGTTTCGGCCAAGTCCAGTTTAAAACTGAGGACAAATGAATAAGGGAGCGTGCTACTCGGTGGACAAGTGTTAATGATTTTTTTCCCCCAGGACTTTGAGCCTTAGAGTGCCTTGGGGACTTGGTGATGCCACCTCCTCACAAGTCCAGCAAGGCAGTCGCACAGGCAGGAGTATCTTTCTTGGGTTCTACTTGTCCTGGGGACACCGATGACCGCACCCAACTCGCCCTTCCGGCACAGCCTTATCGGACAGGATCTCCCCTTTAGGTTTAAACAACTGCCTGTCCTCAGGCCGGAGCAACCGGAAGGGTGGTGGGCACACACCCGCACCCGGTGGGGTGGTGCCCGGAGCACGGGGCGGAGGTGTCTGGAGCCCTTCTAGACCCTGCCCCGCTTAAGAACAGAGCCGACCGTGTGGAGCTGTGCCACAGCTGAGGAGAGGACGGGATACAGGACGCCGACCCAGTCAGCCGAGTTCTTTGGGCTAGGGGAGAGGCGCGGTGGAGGTCTCGATCAGATAAATGTCTCGGGTCTGGCCAGAGCCCCGCAGGTCCAGGACTTGGCGATAAAGCCGCCCGTTGTGTAGAGCACCTGCAGCAGAGAACTTACTCTACTGTAGACAGAGTGCTGTATTCGCAAAGTAGAAAGAAGCAGCAGGACCACTCCTAAATAATCAGGGTTCCCTTTCCTCACACAAAATTTATAAGTCCATTGATCAGAGACTAGTAATGTGTGATCCACTGGGGCCACTACGTGTTACTGGAGATTAAACCTCATTTTCCTGAGAAATACCTGCGCCGACAGAGAAATGCAGCAAGAATCCGTAGGTTTGCTTCTGTAGCCCATTTGCCTGTAAAAGTTCAAAGTTGCCAATGTTCCCAGAACTAAGAAACAACTCCCTGAGAAATCAGCAGTGCCCTTTGTAAATTTAGCCTGGAGTTAGTTTCAGGTGGATAATTGTACCCTGCTTTTCGGGCATCCTACCATAACTAAGAATCCCGTTTTTGTTTTTGTTTTTTCTGTTGCTTTTTGTTATTTTTAGTAGAGTTCCCTCTCTTTAAAGAAAAAAATGTATTTTTCAATCGAATCTACAATTTCTAGCACATAAATCTGCCTTGAAAATGCTTTTAGTTCTGCACTCTACATTTTAAGTCAACATCAAAACTGAAATTAAACAGAGAAAACCAGCGTGGAGCATAAACTGTACTTAAAGACTTTTAAATGAGAAAAACTTCTGTAAGAAAATAAACATGGAAACCTAATGCTCAATCATTTCTCAAAGCAGCAAGAAAAACAGCCTTAAATCACCCATCCATGTGGGAAATGGACCTCTTTTCCTTTTTCAGTTCTCTGCCTCTAAAAATATTTATTACATGATTAAGGATTCCAATCTTGAAGTGAATGTTCTAGAAAGGCTCTGTGAAGGTTTGTCTAATTGTCTTTGACCCTTGCAAGGATTCTTCTTTCCTGAGCAGCTAGTAATTTCAATTCTTTGATTTTTTTTTCAAAGACATTTTGACAATGATATGGTAGGGCAATGTTACCATGATTCTGAATAGCAATGGATTTAAAAACCATGTTTGATCGAAGTTTATACACATCTCTATGCCACCAGCCAAAATTGTATTAGAGCTGGATAATGGAAATGTATTTCTTTTAAAATTTGTCCTGTTTTGTATACCTATAAGGTCATGCCATCTCCTTTTTACCTGGTTCCTGCTGGCTAGGAGAGCACCAAAGATTTATACATTTCTATATCCCTCAATTTTTCCTCCACAAAGCTATTTTACAATAGAATGTTATCAACTGGGACATGTACACTTTAAATAATTTCACAGTAATCTTCCCTGATTTTTTCTTATTCTATTAATCTCAAATCTAATGGCAATATAAGGCTTATTTTTAATTATTCCAGGTACCTATATCCCACTGCTATGCTTTCTCTTACTCCCAACCTCCCCTGAATAATTCAATATTGTACACTCACGTAAAATAAGGAAAAGTTGAAACAATCCCCAAACAAAAGCTACTAGACACTGGAGGGGCAAAATGTATTCAGTGTATTTAGCAAGTGGGGAGGATGGGGAATTACCTACATTTAAATTATTTCCTCCTTTTATCAAATGTAAGCATGGAAGAATTTTTGTTTTTTCATTTAGTTTATAGTCTTTAGCTATTACCGGACAATATAGATAAAACATGATACAAATATAAACTGAACTTATACATTGTGATACCTAGAGTTATGTCACCAGATGTGTAATTATTTCAGTTTGTGTTTCTTGCAAAATCTATGTTACATGGGATATGATGTTTACCAAGGTAAAATAGTTATCTTTAAGACTAGGTACTAGGATTATTTCAAGATACATATAAAGAAGAGTTTTATCTTTGGAATTATATATTTAAATCGCACAAAATTTACCATCATATAAAGTACTCAGTTGCCTGCACTGCCCTGGACCCCAAACTCCCCCGCTGCTGCCTTGAGTCTACGCTGAACCCGAATGTGGCACCCCCTGCAGGTTGTGGCTGCTTCTGTGGCTTGTCGCTATTTAACTCCTTTGAGTGCTCCTTTGAAAACTCTTGTGTGTTGTTTTTATTTGTTGTTATTTTTCTTTACTCTTTTAAAGTGCTATGTTTGGGTTTGGGGGTTTTTGAAGAGCATACACTCTCAAAATTAAAACCTCAGCCCTAAGAGCCAGCTATTCCGATGACCTTTCTCTCACTGAGTAGAGGCTGTGGGTGAGTTATGTGCTCAACAGTAGCTGGAGAAATAAAGGACGTGCCTGGAGTTCACCCGTCCTCCATCCCTCCTCCCCGAAAACTCACACTCACCACTGAGGACCGGGGAGGTGGGAGGGGCCCAGGTTTCGAGGAAGGTGGGGGTGGGGGCTGCTGAAAGCACAACTGCTGATTAAAGTAGCCCACGGGGAGAGCCTGGGCCTTTAGGGGACTTCAGAAGTAGTCTTCATAGGGCTTTCTTTAAAAATAACTAGAAGTTGCCTCTAAGAGTCGTAAATTAGCTATGCGTTTACTTTTTGTTTCTCTTATTTATTCAGCACAAGATTTCTAATTTGTGGAATTAGCACTTAAACAAAAAAGCTTACTCTCTTAACAACAAAAACAGTCGGATCCCCTAAAGGCCACGCCTGCTCTGGGTCAGCCTGATACCCACTAGCGTCCCCAGCCCGGGACTCCCCGGGCTTTGGGGTCCTGCGTGGTGCCCGCCCTAGAACACCGACCCGCTATTCTTCACCTCCTGCGATTACTAGCAGCCTCACAAGCAGCACCATATGCTGCTTCTGATCAAACAGAGAGCGACATCGGCACCGATAATTGACGAGACCCGCTAGATATCACGAAGAAAGGGAGCCCGCTGAGACTGCAGGGGTTGACAAATCACTGCTAATAATCCTGTTAGGAACAGCGCGGCCAGCGGAGTTCGCAATAGCTTTATTTTTATAAAGTAGGCGTTGACAGTATAAAAGACAACGAGATCTCTTTTTTTAAACAGAAGGCCCTATGCGTAATGGTAATTTTCCCAGAAGCAATTCTTAGCGCAATTCGAATAGGAACTATGGGTTTTAGATACATAGATCCTTCCTCCTCTTTTCCATTTTAAAAACTTTTCTGGTACTTTCAAGCTTAGATTCCTCTTCTCCTGTGGTTTTCACAGTCAAATGAGAACTGTTCAAGAAATCGTTTTCAGAGGACTTGACTATAAGAGAACTTTAGTTTGAGGGCAGAATTGAACTATAATTTGGAAGTTTTCCTGTAGCACCCTTGACTAATTTAGAGCGTGTTTTGGAAGCTTGACATCAAGATCAAGCAAAGTGAAACTCCAAACCCTATTCCTCTTCCCATCATAATTTCTTTAAAAAAAAAAAAAAAAAAGGAAAAGAAAAACCAAACACCTATAATCAACAAGAACAAATCTTTATGGGTCAAATAAAAAGCTCTCATTTTTAAAACATTTCTCTTGGGTTTTTGTCTATTAATCTCTCATTTACCATGCTAAATTTTGCTTTCCTAGCAAAAATATCTATAAGGTATTTTTTAAAATCAGTTATTCAGATGCAAACAAAGGAAAGAATGGGTAAATGGAAGAGAGAAGAGTCCTTTTCCTAGTGAGTATAAATAGCATTTTTTAAATACAGCAGTGTTCTGTGAAAGCTGTTCTGTACTTACACAGTGAATGTTGATAACCAAATACAGTTTTTACATCATATCAACAGCACAGCTTGTCTAACTTCTAGGCTTCCTTATAAGAGAATTTCCCCCAAATTAAGTCACCAACTTGTCACTCAGAAGATATTCTCCAAGCAAGCTAACCATTTTAATTCAATCTTATATATGTTGGAATTAGCCTAGAATCTTACAGATAATATTAAGGCCAGAGCAGCAAATTACCAAGCTTCATAGTTAGTTTCAGATTCCAAAAATGTCTTGAAAACTTAGAATAAATTTTCTATAACCATCCAAGAGACTGGGTAAATTTGGGAGATATTCACAAATGTGCCTGTTCCTCATCTGCCGAAATATAGATATATAGAGAGGTTATTACCTGGCTTAGCTAGCTCCATGCACATGGGCTTATCTATACTTAGCAAAATGCAGTATTCAGCATTGCTCCTACCTTCCACTGGATACAATTCTAACAAGAGAAACAAAAAAGAAAGTCATGTTTGGATTAGTAGTACTCTCAATTGAGCCCAGTATCTGAAGTGTTGACAAAAGCACTGCTGGGCTCCTTCCCAACTAAACACATCTGATGGACTGCAGAAAAGTATGAATGGAGAAATAGAGAGAGTCTGGAAAAGGGAACAGGAATTCTGGTTCAAGGAGGACCTTAGTCAAGTAGCCAGGCTAAACTTTCCTTTGCAAAGAGCATGTGTGTACTTCCTTGCTCGACAGAGTAGGCTTTATCCCTGGCAAATCCTTTCCTCCTTCCTTTGACATCCCATCTAGGCAAAGTCACTTACCTTCTGGAAACACCACTCTCATTTTGAGATAACTGGTGGTGAGTCTGATGATGGATGCTTTGTCCAGCTGCGAGGTGATAGCGGAGGGCAAAGGCAATAATTTAGCCAGTTCATAAAATTCACTGTTTTCCTTCTCCCTCCTAGTCCGAGCAGCATTTTTGGACTTTTCTTTCATTGTGTCTAGTTCCCCCTTTCTTCTTACAACATAAACTCCACAGATTCATCCAAAACCAAAAATTAGCTTTCAATTAGATATCATACTAGACAAAAAACACGAACTCATACTTTGAACTAAGACGCTGAAGTTTACACCAGGGACAGTGTATGGATGATAGTAAAAAGCCAGCTCGTGAACAGAAAATATATTCTTTGAAGATGTAAGATGCAACTGTAGGAAATTCGCTCATCCGCGGCAATTTGGGCAATCATGGAGGTCTCTAGGTATCAAATGCTGGCAGAACCTCTTAGGAGCCAGCGTTTTCTTCTATTCTCCGCTGCAAACCCGGTTCCTTGGAAAATCGACATAATAATTCTCGACGAATGCTCTTCAGTTTCCTGGCACTTAAGATGGCTCCGAGACGGTTTGGGAACAGGAATCCCGGATAATTCTTTTAGACCACTGCGAAGACAACAGCATCAGAGCGTAAGAAACCTGCGGCTCGGACTTTACTCACACCCTCGCCCCAGTTCAGAAAAACGGCGGAAAGGGCCTCAGCGCGCCTCTGCTTTCCTCGCCAGCATCGGTGCGGGTTTGTTTTCTGAGATATAGAGAAATCAACAGTGGGACCGAAACCCTTGTCAACAATGTTCACATTCCCTCACCCGTGCCGGCCACATTCTTCAGTCCCGCTGGGAAGTTGCCCAAACAACAAAGCGCATATTTTTGAGGACCCTCAGGAGACCTTCGGCCACCGGTCCCCGCTTGCGGCGTCCAGGCCGGGCCCAGGTCCCGCAAACCTGAATTCCTCCACAGCGCTGCGGGAGCCTAGCAGGCCCCGCACTGGGCAGTCTGGAGTCTGGCTGCCTCCCAGACAGGGTCTTAAATCTGAGCGAGTCCTCAAAAAGTGGCGCCTAAACATCAAGCCCCTTGGACCTCCGAGGAGACCCAGGCTCCCCCTGGCCAACAGGGGCAGGGACGTGCGGCCGGGCAGTGCAGGTTAACAGGTGGCACTCGCGACAGCTCCCTCGCTGGCGCCGGGGACAAAAATGTTCCACCCTCAGCCTCGCCTGCCCCGCGGAAGAGCCGCGCCGAGGTGGCTGCTGCTCCACCTACCTTCCGTCCTCGCGGGCTGCAAAGGGTGCGGAGGTGCCCACCTCTTAATTGCACTCAGGCCTGTGGTTCAACTGAGCAACTCCGCCGTCCGCTTCCCACTATCGGAGAGGAGCCCAGCACTCCTTGACTCCTTTTTCTCGCTCATGAATGGGGGCGGGGGTGCGTGGCAGAAAGAGGAGGATGCGGGCTTTGGGACGGGCGAGCTGGTTTTAAAATCCTCCTCCTCGGTACTTGCTACGAAGCCAGTATTATTCCTAATTGGAAGCCAAAATCGCCCCCCCGTAACTTCTTTACAGCTTATGAAATTTAGCTTTAACTTCACTCCCGGGCTCCCTTTCTCCCGCCTTCCCTAAGTGTCACTCTCAAGACTTCCTGCTTCCCATTGGCTCAGTGCACTCGGGGACAGGCGCTCATTGGCCAGTCTGCTTGAATGACTGGGAAAAACGCATCCCCCCCCCCCCCCCCCGCTCTGGGCTCCGGGTCCAGCGACCCGCTTGGCCGCCGCGCTCCTATCCTAGTGCGCGCGGAGTTGGCGCTGCGGGGCCGCTGCTCTCAGCCTCGGGGTCTTGGGCGTTGGGCGCTCCCGGTGCTTCCCCCCTCCCCGCGGTCGGGTGTCTGGGCCTCCGCCCTGCGCACCCGCCGGGCACTGCTCCGAACCCTTGGCCGCTGCCTGGGTCTGAGCTGCGGGCGGCGAGGCAAGATCAGCCTGACAGCGGGAAGGTGGCGGCCGTCTGAGCTTTATTTTCTCCCGAGTTTCTCTGAACCCAGAGTGACACCAAATTCGCCAGAAGAAATAAATACAATACTTCATCTGAAGAAAGGTGTCATTTTGGAAATGGTTCCGGTTCGGGGGCTGATCCGTTCCTTGCGGATAAGGCCTACGTGGGCAGTTTTCCTCGGGAAGGTGCAGTGGACATTGGGGGAAAACAGGTCCTAGATCAGGCCAAAGTGGAGTCAGAGTGATTGATACACAGCTATCTCAAACAATCCGTTACTTTAAACGTCAGCTGAGTCGATTAGGTTTTGTTTCAGGAAACAGAAGTCCGATGTGAATGTTCGTCGCGGATAAGATACTGTCTACATGAGTGAACTTAAAACGTTTAAATCCCCCACTGGAAGTTTTTTAAAGGAATGGTCCCGAGTACCATTGCTAACAACTTACAGTTGGGAAACTCACTTGAATCGCATTCTCTTTCTGTCAGTCTGAGGACAGACAACAGATAACCACGCAAAGAGAAAAAAACAATTTTGCCAGATAACAATTATTGCCGTCCAGAAATCCCCACTGGGTTTTGGTGCTGTTAGCGACAAGGTTCTGCTCTTGGAGGTGTGTTTGGTGGGGACGTCTCATCTGCCATAAAATGAGCACGCCTGTAACTGTGTACTTGTCCTGTAAATTTGTGCCACTAATAGCGGCTGAGAAAACAAATATTTTGCAGATGGGCGTGTGCCATTCTGCTGATATTCGGAATACCTTTAAAAGTGTTTGCTCAGAAACAGACATCTGCCATCTCCCTTGTCACCTGATGGCAGTAAGCTTGTAGGACAATCGGAGCTTTCTGGGGTTATTTACACATCTGGGCAACACCTGGCAAGAGAAGGTGAATGTTCTGAATAGAAAGAAAAACAGAAAAGAAGTAAACACGGAGGTTTTGTAAGTGTTTCTGAACTGGAACCGGCTAAAGGGCTCAAATCTAGAAGGAGGAGTCATTTCCCCAGTGGCAGGAGCCACTTAAGAGACCTGGCTCTGGATGGTTCCCCCCGACGTGTGATACACCTCTTGTTAACAAGAGGTGGCTAGAAGGATTGAGATGCACCACGGCTCATTTATACACAAGAGTCCAGAAAGAGCAGGAAAGGTCAAGTTTGCCACTACATGGGAAGAGAGGGGAGGGAGGCGCGTGGAGAGAGCGAAGTAACCTTCCGTGACCCTCGTCTTTCTGCCAACCTCAGGATAGGATGGTGCCTCCAGGCTACGCAATGACACTTTAGGGTTAAATGAACCAGTTGTCTATTCTGACTGTTCTAGAGAGGATTTCAGTCAAGTCTGTGGTTGCGTTAAACCTATCTGTACTTCAGACAACAGGCAGGTATGGAAGCGCTCCTCTGGAGTCGGAAACTCGTCCGCACTGAGGAGATCAGGCGGACAGGGGC